ATGAAGTAAGTAGGAAGGACAATGGATATAACACTTTTTTTCTCTTTAGTGAATTGAGCAGAGACTAGCCAGCTCTTATCAAAGCAACTTCCTCTTCCTCCTGGGCACACACCTGACCCATATTCCCTGCCCTGGCTTACAGTTAGATGTGGCCTTGTAGCTGTTCTGGATAAGGGAATGTGGGTAGAAGTCATATACGCCACTTCCAGGCCTGGTATATGTGGAATATTCTTACACCAAGGCTCTTCCTCTCTTTGCCATCTGCCTGTTGAATATTAATGCCCAGGGTGACATTGGAAACCTGGTTGGATAAAGCAGAATTACTGACCATCCACCTTAGTCTATGAAAGACTATATGGTGCCCATTCCCCAACTGAAGGTAAGAAACACCAGTGAGGGTTTTATGCAAAGGAGAAATGAACTTTGTGTTAAGTTACTGAGACTTTGAGATTTCTCTGTTACAGAAATTAGTGTTAACTAATATACAGATAGGGTCCTGGAAAATACAAAATGCTTGTGACCATAGGTGTGCCTATGATATATAATCATATACAGAAATCGGCTGTTTAAAAATTTCCTTAAAAATACTTATCTAAGAGTATATGCACACACTTACATATATATATATATGTCTATGTATTTCTATTCATTTATTGAATAAATGAGTACATAAAAATATAAAAACACCAGCATGTAAGTCACATATGAGAAGGCCCTGCATCTAATGATTAACCACTGCACACACAATACCTAGAATGTTGCCTGACACATAAGATGAGCTCAAGAAAAAATTTCAATACATACATACATACATACATACATACATACATAAGCTCATTATTCCTCTCCTCTCTATATTCTTTTCCCAGGAGTCCTTATGTCTCCCATCACCTACTATCTCCTACATGAGATTACACCCATCATATCTCTACCCTGGACACTACTTTTGCTTTATCCCCCCAATGGTGCAGAAACCTTTAATCTGGACTTTTATTTTGATTTTTTCCTTTGACACAAACCAGCTTCACCTGGTGCCCTGACTCACCCACTTACCTCTCCCTTGCTTGATCATTAACCCCTGAGGACAGTGAGGTTCTGACCAGTACCCGTAGTCTTAGAAACAAGGTCATGGGTCTATTGATTGTTGAGACAGAGTTTTCAATCAAACTAAACATGATATCTTGGCCTAGTTGTGCTTTAGCTCTGGACCAAGGATGATCCCACACAACAAATCCTTGTGAAATTAAACAGAACACCTCCATGGCTGCCGGGCAGACCAGATGCAATGAAGAGTTACACCACAACCTAGCACCAGCCCATCAGCAGAGATCATGACCCTAACTCTATTAGCCACCACGACTAATGATTTTTTCCTCAATATAACTCATGTTGAAGAAGCCATTGAGGAGCCAGGGCTTTGTGCATGTGCTACCTGTGACTCCGGGTGTGATACTTTCTCCTTAATAAACCCTTCCTTTCTTGGCTGCAAATTCCTGTCTTCTTGGGCTTTGATGCACACAGGCAACTGGACCCCTTCAGTCCAGTAACACCCCTGTCTCCAACTCTGAGTTTTCACCTCTGTACTAATCATCTCCTCTCTTTGCTTTCTCACCTATTTTCTCTGCTGGTATCATTTTCTATTTCCTGAGCCTATAAAAGAGCCTATTTAGGGCTCTTTCCAAGAGCCCTAAATTTGCTGAATAACATGTCTTCTGCAATATTTATATTTTCCTTACAAGTTTTCTCTTAATATAGTTCTCTCCCCTCTAGTTATCTAAATCAAGAGCCCTAAATGGGCATCTTGTCTGAATCCTCTGCCTCTCTTATACCTTCATGAGTATCCCATCCTGTGTTTGTAAATTTTTCCTTGGTGGTACCTCTCATATCAATCCTCACACCCCTCCACCCCTATCAATGGCACTTCCCTATTTCTGGGCTTATGACTGTGGACCTGAATTCTTGCAATAGTGCCTGAAATCTCTCCCTAGATCTTCTCCCCTCAATCCCTTTTGCAGGTTTCCCCTAAAGTGGTCATTCAAAAACCATCATCATCCTCATGTGCTGTGACTATTAGGTAATCTCCTCTAAGAAACAGTGCTTCCGTGCTTGCAGTACATAATTTAAACCTCTTGGCTTAATGGTGAGGGCTGTCACAACAGTCTCTATCTCTCAGATCTTATCTTTAAATATCCAGGTTCTATGCATCTCAGTTAAGGGAAAGGTAATTGAATGTTATCTAATCTAATTATCCTTCTGCTTTGAAAATTATATTTTTGTCAAGGTTGCTGAATAACATATCTTCTGCAATATTTATATTTTCCTTACAAGTTTTCTCTTAATATAGTTCTCTCCTCTCTAGTTATCTAAATCAAGGACCAGAATTAAACTGTTTCCTTATTCACTCTTTTCTAATTCATGCCAGGATTTAGTGCTTTCTCCTTATTCTGAACTCTCAGCTCAAATGTTATTTGTGTGGACCTTTGGAAATTACTCACACAATGTATGGTAAATGTCCCTTGATGTCTGATTTAAACTGTTCCCAAGATACACTTCCTTTTTACCTGCTAAGCATTTTCCATGTGTATAAATAAACCCAGTCAACCCTCATTATTCTCAAATTCCATACTCGGGAATCTGCCTCCTGTCAAAGTCTGTAGCCCCTGAAGCAAGACTTGCAGCCCTGCAACACCCACTCAGGTGGTGAGAAGTGTGAGGTGCCCTGTGGGTGTTTCCAGCTGAGGTCGAACAAGGCCACACTCTGCCTTCCTGTTTCTGCTCTCCCACTTCAAATAAGTGCCTTTTCAGTCTATTTAGAGCTACCTTTTCTAAATTTTTATGCCTTCTGTTGGAGATTTTGCTGTTTCAAATGGCCCCCAAGGGTAGTGCTGAAAAGTTGTCTTGTGTTCCTAAGTGCAAGGAGCCTGTGATGCGTCCTATGGAAAAATATGTGCTAGATAAACTTTATTCAGGCATGAGTTACACTGCTGTTGGGGTGAGTTCAATGTTAATTAATCGACAAATACATATTAAATAATAAATAAGGTATCTTTCAACCGAAATACACATAAAACAAGATTACATATTGATCCATTGATGAAAATGTTATGACCTGGGGGAATGATTCAGTGTTCACTACTTCAGTGTTTATGGTGCCTTTATAGAATATAACTACCATAAATAATGAGACTGACTGCGTATGTGCATATGAGTATGTAGATATATGTATATATCTGAATTATATAACTGCACATGCACACTGATGTATATAAGTAAATGTTCATCCACTAGTAAATATAAAAGTGAGAACACACATATGCCCCCACGTAAAGAAACAGGGAAAAAAAAGAGAGGAAGGTATTAAGGGAGAGAAGAATGAAGAAGAAAGATGGGATAGACAGAGGACAGAAAGTCCTTGCCTCAGTCTTGTGTTGCTGCCATGTTCCCTGAACTGGGTCTTCCCTTCTAGGTGATGCTAAACACTCACCATAATTAATGATAACAACTATCAATTAGCATGATTATTAATAATACATGTAATTATGATGATGATAAACTTATTTGATCACTTATATTGTGACAGGGTTTGTGCTATGTAAAATGTTGTGGGTTATTTGCTTCATTCCAAAAAATTTCATGGAGATTCTTCAATGTTATCACTTTTACAGGTGACAAAAATGAATTTCAATAAATTAAGCCTCTAAGGAGTCCACAAATAGCAAACAATAGAAAGGGATTTAAATGGGGAACTCTGAGTTCAGTGGAAACTCAATCTCTTCCTACCTTCATCAACCATAATCTGTGTCCCTGATTATAAATCATTAGAAAGTCAGGTAACATGGCTACCTGGAATGCACTGGTGGTTATCAGAGCAGAGCTATACATCTGATTACAATCTCCTCTATACTTTTTAGGTCTTTTCACCCTCCAACAAACATTTCATGTAAAGTCAGGAAGGGTTTAGTCCTGTAGAAAAGTGATTTCTGACAATGGTCTTCAAATGTACAAGGACAAAGAAAGAGTAGGTCAAAACCCAGACTCACATGAAAATAATGCAGATAAGATTAATTAGGAAGCTTTTCCTGGCATTACAGAGCCTGGGTTTTAATGTCAGAACCGCCTGAGTTCTAATGTAAGTCTGGTCTTTTTTAATGTATACAATTAGGCCAGTTAGGATCAGTTTACTTATCTGTAAGACAAGTATAAAAATGCTTACCTCATAAGGGCTGGTGGTGGAAGGTTAAATGAATCAGTGTCTTTAACATACTTAACAACAGTGTAAATAGGTCATAGGATGTGTTCAAAAGAGCAATTACAATAGTTGATAAAAGTAGTTTTAATAGAACTATACTATTGTGCCCATTGAGGCTCACCCTCAGATTGAAATAAATACTCCAAATTGCCAAAGTACTTTAAGACTTTTATAATCACAACATTTTTTTTGAATCTATTAGGAAACAGAAAGAAAACAGGGGCTAAGATAAAGAAGCAAATCTGAGATCATCACAATAAATAGATGGAAACATTCAACTCTAACATGATTTTCCCCCAAGTTAGATTGGAGGTACATAATTTAAGAACACTAGAAAAATATTTGTTTCTTAATACAGTTACAGGCAGCTTTGAGAAGCACAAAAAAAAGGAAAAAAGAAAAAAGAAAAAGAAAAGAAAGAAAGAAAAAAAATCAAGCAGCTCAGCTCAGCAAAACTCCGGTCTTCTTCCCACGTCCTTCACTATGAAATCTGTCATCTAAAAAGCACGTGAAACACAAGGCACACGTGTTTATCTAGACCAACAACAGAAAAAATTAAAGGCTGTTAATAAAGAGATTTTAGAGATCTTTTACTTTTCATGAATGAGCAGAAGAGAGGACCTGAAATACCCCAGCACCTTAGATTTCTCGCACTTTCTAACCCACAGGCCCGTCATAACTGACGCCTCTCAGCAGACCACTTTTCCTGGTCACATGATCCTGTTAGAGAGCCAGGCCCAGGGCCACTCACCCACTGTTGATGTCATCCATCCTGAGAGTCTTCCCGAGGATATCTCCATCACTCATGTACCCGCCAACATCGACTTCAGAAGACATGTCCAGGTCACTGCTTGCTTTCTCACTCATGTCAATTTGTGACATGTTTCCCAGGCGAGAGACGGCGGCTCGGCGAAGAGGCGTTGTGTACATGAACCTGGAGGGGTCCGTGTGGATGAACCGACTCGTACCGCTACGGGGGTAGCCGGCCCCCAGGGAGGGAGCATCTCCAGCCTGCAGTCGAGGACACGCCTGGCCCAGCCTCCAGGTCATGGGGGTGGGTCGGCTTGTCAAGTTGGGTATGGTCCTTCCATTCACTTCTGTTGTCACTGTGCTGTCAAATGTTGTCTCCAGGGTGCTGTCAAATAAAATGGAAAAATAACTGGACTCTGGTTCACTGGGGACATTTATGAAGAATGCACGAAGACAGAAAAGGCTGGAATTAGAGTCATTTCTTAGAAGGCTGTGATTTTCATGAAAATCAAATTATATATTTATAATGAGATTCTAAACACCCCTGTGGGGGTTAAAGTGTGGGAAAGAGCATTCATTAGATGTGTTTTGCTTTATTGCTTCAAAAGAAAGGCTATCATTACATTTTAGATAAAATGAAACATTGTTTCACATTCTCAACCATCTTAATTTACCCTATCCACAGCCTTCCTGGAACTATTCTGGAAGTTAGCTACAGTGATGTTTGCAAGTCTCTCTACCACGCCTCTGATGCATTTCAACAGCAACTTCTGCAACTATTCTTAAGGGCAGGCATGACAATCTACTTAGTCGTGATGATGGTAGTTTCAGCAGCTAATTCAGTTTAAATGGGAAATTATACTGATAAAAAAGGTGGATAGGAGAAAAAGGTGGAAGTTGTGTGCTCAGAAGTAACCAGTTGATTGTCCTGTGAAATTTAAGTGGGAAGATAAGAAAGGAAAGCTAAAATTCCTTTTCTATCATCATGAGAAGTTAAGTTCTTTACTGGCCCCAAATTATGCAGAATTGAGAAGAAACCTGTGGCTTATCTGGGTCCCTCGAAGACTGGACATAGTCTCTTCTAAATTCTGCCTCAAATCTGCTATGTTTTTGACTGTTCTCATTCTCCTTGTTTCAGGGTCTTCACCTAGAAAAATAACACAATAATTCACTTGTTATTCATGTCATTCACTGTCCTGAGAATAATTGTACACATATATAAATAATGTAAATTCTTTTTTTCAAAAGTAAAATGATAGGTAGAAAATTCCAAATGAATATTATCACCTAAAATTATCACTCTTTCTACAAATAAAATGAGAACAGAAACAAATGTAATATTGTAAGTAATAATTTGAGGTGATGGTAATAGAATAATACTTTGTAGGTCTATGACCTTAATCACTGCAAAATGAGAGAGCCATTTGGAAATACACTGTATATTACTCTGTGTTACTGAGCTCAGATTTAAAAATCTGAAATTATTTGAACACTAATTATTTCTGTAGCTATTTGTTTCTAAGAGCACTTAGAACAGTTGAGATAAACTTGCCTTATGTATCAAGTATACGTTTGGACTCTGAGATAAGAAAAAGGATGGAGGCCTTTTCTTATAGGCACAAGGTCTTCTTTTCTTCCCCCTTCATTTTAATTTTTATTTTTCTCCTCCAGCTACAATGGCTTAGTGTTTTCTCTTTGTTCTTCCTCACCTTGTTCTCTGAAGTCCTGGCTGGGAATTCTATCAGTGGAACTTCCGAAGACTGATGCTCTCATTGCATAAGACCAAGGTAGTCATGGGCTCATCAGTACTGTCCGCACCTGGTTGTAGGTACCGTTCCTGCATTTGGTGCACTGCAAGTAGTCAGTGTTGGTGCCCTCTCTCTAGGCCACTGGTGCTCCCACATAGCCTCCTGGGTCACGGCTATCCTCAACTCCCTCAACTCATCATTGGCCATTTCCTCTGCTGTCACCTTGGCGATGAGGTCAGCAGTGATGGCCTCACTGAGCAGCCACTGCAGACATGGGTGCTGGCATCCTTGAGCTTGCTGATTCGGCTGTGCATGCAGTTCCAGTACTTCCTGTCTGTGCTCTTGAGCTCCTGTTAAATATCATCTTCGAAACCTGATGTCATCTTGTCACAACTGACTCCATAGTCCCTGTAAGTATCATCCACCTTCATGGCCACTGAGAGCATCTCCACACACTTGTCCAGGACAGGGTCCCCTGTGAGAGAGCAAGCTGCCAAGAGACCAACGAAGGGAGCAAAGGTGGAGCTTGAGCGGTTGCTGGGTATTTTGTGGGGTCCCTGCCTCTGATTTGCGGCTGTTTGATCTTTCCATCGATGATGGCGTTTTAGGACAGGAGGTGACAGAGGACCTGAGTCCACAGAGTCTCTGTTGTCTTTGGGCTCTTCCCCTAGTTTTTACCTTAGAGGAGAAGTCTGCCTCTGGCTTCCCAGTGGAACAGTCAAGCCCTTTTCCTTTCTTCTCAGCTTTTTCTCTTTTCTTTCTTTTTTCTCCTCTGGGCTAGCCAGGGGAGTCCAGTAGCCGCTGCCAGTTTTTGATGAGGACTTTGGCCCAGGCTGCCACCTCTATCTGAGCAGTGCTTGCAGAGCCTGTTCACAGCGACTCCAAGCCTGGTTGTCTGGAACAGCTGGATGGACATCTGGAAGCTGTTCAGCTTCTTCAGAAGGTCAAGAGCGCCTTCTGTGTGCATCCTAGCTACCACGTTGTCCAGCCTTTTGGCCATTCTCAGCAGCTCCTCTTCCTGGGCCACGTTGGCCCACGACACCCAGTGGGGTGAGGGTGCAGGGCAGCAGCCGGGCCTCTGGAGCAGGAGGCACAGAGTCAGTGGGTGTGCACCCACGCCAAGGCAATACCTCTTTAAGTCCTTTAATCTGGTAGATTCATGGACCAAGACTTACAACATTGAAAGGCTTTATTTTTAATTATGTCTCTACTTCCTGCAGGGAACCAAATCATCCACCCACATGTTACACAGGGTTCCAGTGAAGTCCTAGGCATCTAAACCTAGAATGTGATTAATGCACAGGAAACAAACACCCCTGCTGGCGTGACCAATGCTGGCCTTTTACAACCACCGCCTGCCATTTGAGGGCAGAAGTGACCTTAAACCATTTTGTTTGCGGCCACATAAAACTGCCCAGGCCAGTGCCCATTTGAAGCTGATGCGTCTGGATAATGATAACATGGCAAGAGAGTAGAGAAAACAGTTTTTATTCTGTTTCATTTAGGCTCAAGAGGATTTCCAATGATAAAAAATTTTAATAAGAAAGAAGAAAACAAGGAAGGAGGAAATTGGAATGGATAAATTAAGGGGAGGCAAGGTAAAGGGAAGGAAGGGGAGGAAATAAAAAGGTGATGGAAGGAACAGAAAAAGAGAAGGAAATATGAAGTTAAAAAATGGGATATATTACATTCCACTATGAAAACTGTCACGCAGAAACTCAAGATGAATATCTATAATCTGTTTTACAAATATAGGTAGATATTCAATCTGTTCACTTTCTTCCACAGTACTCATGTCAGATTTTTAGAAATACATAACAAATGCACCCATCTAACATTTTAATATAATTGTAGTGCCTGTGGGGATTTCAGAGGTTGTCTCGCCTTACCTCTTAGCCAGTAAATGAACTCATCTCCCTTTGGAGATGGCCACAAGCCTCTGCCTAAAGCCTCCCAGGCTCCTTCCTTTCCTGTAAAAGATGTCTCCTCCCAATGTTAGATATGTCTCATTGTGAAAACATTTCTAGGGACAAGTAATAATTTGCTTCTCTTTAACTTCCACCCAGTGTGCCAGTGGCTCTGAAGCGAAGCAACTTGGTATTCCCTTCACCGTGGCAGTCCCTCACATGTGGGAAGAGAGCACCTGCGGATTCTCCTATTGTCTTCTCTGGCCAAACATCACTACATTGTTCATTATTCCTCATTCTGGCTGGTTGCCAAGACAACCACCATTCTGCTGCCAGTCTATAAATCTCCCCCTTTCAATTTACAAAGTATTCAAATGATTAAAATATGCTTAATAATGGCATTATTGCTTCAAACTTAGAAAGGACAGAAAAACTCCCTAAATGTATTTTTAAGAACTAGTAAAACCCATGCTGTGCCCTCGTGCACGTGGCACAGACCTCTCCTACACTGACTCGAGCCATGCAGTATGGAACCTCATACATTTGCATTCCTTCAGACTCAGAACTCTAGCCGTACTCTCCCTGGAAATTCTTTCCATCCTTCTCTTCATAAAAATAACACAGTATATTTGAGAAGTGGCTGGAAAGAAGTCTACCTTTTACTTTCAAATCATCCGGCAGAACCTTGGAGAAAAAGGAGGTTTTTGTAAGGAAAACCTTAAAAGGCATAAAAAGAATATCATTTCAGTGGAAGGAAAGGCAGAGGCAAAGAAGAGATTTTACTCAAAGTACACAAAAGACACAGTGAAGAGACAAATGTAGAGAAGCGCTAAAGCTGATATTCATAAGACTTCATACAGTCTAGAAGCCTTTGATTCTAAGTGGTGACAAGAGACGAGACATCTTCCAGGAGGAGAGCGCTGAGACTATCTTTTTCTGGAGGGGCAGAGTGCAGTCATCGACTTCACATGAGCTCCTGGAACACGCCGCTACGTGTCCTCTATCCCCGACACGCTTCCCCCAGGAGAACTTTTCAGTGAATCTCCACCACTTGCCACTGGCACAGTATTAATTACATTGATATCTGAATTATTTTCAATACCTTTTTGTATAAACTTTAAGAACACTGTATTTCAGATATTCTACTTTTCTAAATATTTTTTCACATGTTCATCTTTTAAACATCCTTCTTCTGGTCTAACAGGCATCTTAGACCCTTGGAGTTTTCCAGTTGGATTCAGTATTTGTTCACTTAGCTTCCCTCAGGTTTCAGAACCAAAACCCAACCCCCTTTCGGTGTTTCTCCAAACATCAACCCACTCGTGACACTGCACTGCTCAGAACAATCCAACAAATGGATCCTTTCCTCCCAGCACTTGTTGAGCAAAACATAATTCCTGCCTCATTCATGTCATGAAAGATAATAACCAAAATAAAATTTATTGCAGTAAATGTCTTCAATGACATACAAAAGACAAGATACAATTAAACACACTTATAACCCCTAAGGATTGCTTAGGTCTGAAACATCCTGTAAACCTGTATCCAAATGCTGTCTAGAGGATTGGGGTTGGGGAGGGAATTACAATGAAAAGCTCAAATGTAGGAGCATAAGTAAAATAAACATTTAGTAATCAAAGTTAACAGAAAATTGAACATGAAAAATTTACATAGTCACAAAAATGCTGTATCCCTCCCACCTCCACATCTCAAAGCCGTGTCAGCCACAATAGTAAGGGTTTACACCTATTTTCCAGAATGGTGCATTCTGCAATTCGCTTGGAGTTTTTGACGTTGGTGCAAACTGCTTTCTCATGCTTGTTTCCTCTATGAGTAGGGCATAGACTACTAGGCTTAATTTGGTGCTTTTGCAATTTTACTTAGTGGCAGACAAACTCCTTACTCTGTGTGATCTGGCTCTTATTTTGTAGGCTTTAATTATACACACTGTAATCAACACTGCCAGCCTTGTCACCTTTTAATAAGAAATCAAATTGCATATGAATGAACCTGATTCACAGAGGATTATGTCCTCCATACCGTCCACATCACAAATGTTATTGTTTACAGTACAGCTCCCTGATTTATTTTGAGAAATATTCCTAATTTGGGGGATAACTCCAGCAGTGGTTTGGATGGAAATTTTTCAACTCATCAGTTGCCTTTTAAATATTCTCCTATAGAATTATAGTACAGACCCTAGTCTGTCTGATTTATTAGGATATCCAAGAGTAGAGTTGAACTCAAGGAACCCTGCCTGAAAATTAACTTGGAAGAGGCCATTTTGAGTCAGAAGCAAACCCTTGCCAGGCGCGTGGCAGAAATCCTGAAATCCCTGTGGGTGCTGGGCTTGCAAAGACTCACCAACTTAACATGCACCATTATTTAGGGAACTGCACTGGAATGCTCCATTGTCCTGATATGATTATTCACATCAGAGCTATTTGAATAAATTCTTCCTCCTACTTTCTCCTATGCATTTTTGAGTAGTG